GTGTGAGATGGAGAGAGGGCTTGGGGGGCGGGGCGGGCAGGGGGGGATATCTTGAGCTATGACGGGCACCTCTGCAAGTAAAGGGTAGAGCCACAGGCTGTGGAAGGACAGATGCATCTTGCATGCATGCAGCCTTGCTGGCAGTACTGCTGGGGGGGGGGGGCTGCATCATAGGGGGCACGTCACAGCCTGCGGTTGCTGCTGGAATGCCAACGAGGAGCTTTCCGACATGAAGACGGCACTCGCGTCGACACAGAAGCCCCCTACTGGCCGCTCCGCCACAGACACGGGGGGAATGGGACTCTGGGCTCGCACACACTCTGATTAATGGCTTTCATTTCATTTTCATGCTTCCGCTGCCTCGTGTCACACGCAGCACACGCCCCTGCTCCCAGCATCCCGAGAGTAATGGGAACAGGCATCAAAACACCCACACCCCATAACGTGGTGACAAGTGGCGGAAAGTTCCGGCGTCTCGGGCGAGACGCTTTGGCCCCGCCCCCTCTTTCGATTGAGGAGAGCCGCTCCTGGGGCAGCTTCTGCATTACAGGATAAGGTGCAGTGGAGACGCATGTCGGAGTCCATTACGCCGCCTCTGACCCTCCAGAGCCGGCGCCAAATTTCTGAGTCCCCCAGCGAATTCCGGGGCCCTCACTGGAAGCCCGGACAGCTAGCAAAACATCTCAGGCGGGCGGACGGCGCTGGCAGCGATGTGCGGCGTGCTCTGCTCGACCCGTGGGGTCCGTCTGTAATGAGAGTCTGGGCTTTTAATCTTCGTCTGAAAGTATAGACGCTCTCGCGCGCTGCCACCGGTGTAGCGTAGCTACCGATAGGAACACACACCCACACTCAGTCAGCCTCGTAGTTTGTACTTACGCTTTGTATTTTTTCAAACAAATAATTTCACTGCCGTATACAAGTCCGTGCGCAGCCGTCGCGGCGAGTAACCATGCCCGCGAGACGCACGCTGCTGTCTGGACAGGTGGGTTAATGAAGACCGCCATGGAAGGCGTCTCCGTTACGGCCGTCTGATTTTTTGATTCGTCAGGTGTTAGCGAGCCGGTGACCCTGGTGCGTTCCCGCACGTGATGCTCCGTCCTCTGTGCTCTTCCGGAGGCTTTCTGGCTGGCGCTGTACTGGAGATGGCGAGGAGGAGGAGGAGCAGCGTGTGTAGGGGTGTGCATGACTGTATGCTGTTCCTTCACACGTCTTTGGGGGTGCATTACCTGCAGCAGTGATAGACAGCTGCTGTGTTATAATGCGACGGCCAGAACAGGGCATGGCAGAAGACTTGAGGGTTGTCGCATGGCTTAATGGGTTTGGGCACTATGACTGTGATCAGAAGGTCATCGGTTCGAATCCCAGGGTTGGCCCTAAGCAGGGCATTTAATCCCCGATTGCTCCAGGTACTGTTTGACCCTGCTGTCTCAAAAAAATAGAATGATGTCACTTTGGATAAAAGTGTATGCTATATAAATACAATGTAAAATATGAGACTTTCTAGTTTTCAGTCCAAGAGTTGGTTACTTGGCAGTGCTAAGCAGGAGCACAACGATGTACTGACTAACTAGAGCCCTTGTCCCTGAGCGCCGCCCATATCGAGATGCTTGAACTCATTATACCTCTCTGGGAGCCCCGCCATTGGCTGCAGGCCTCTCTCGGAGCCCCGCCATTGGCTACCGGCCTCTCTCGGAGCCCCGCCATTGGCTGCAGGCCTCTCTCGGAGCCCCTCCATTGGCTGCAGGCCTCCCTCGGAGCCACGCCATTGGCTGTGGCCAGTCCTGTGACCTGACACCTTGCGGGTGTTGGTTACTGGCCGTGGTGTCAGGAAACGCCTGCTTGCCAGCCCCGCTGACAGACGAGTGAGCCGCAGATCGGTGGAAGGGTGGGCCCTCCTGCGTTCTCTTCTTCTTTACCCTCGTTTGCTCATGAACCCGACACGCTCTCTGCCTCTTCGCGTCTCTGTGCACACAGGCGGGGGCACGCATACTGTCTCAGGTGCCTAAGCATCTGACTTCCTCTCCAGCCTGGAGACACGAGCAGGCAGCTCTGCAAACATCACGCTTCCAGTATTGTGCCAAAGTCTTAGGCACGCAAAGCAAATGTTTACAGTTGTGTATCTGGGTAGTAAATGTATATTTGCTCAGAAAAAAACACAATGTAACATTAGAATATATGCAAATTAACAGTAACAATAAAAAAAAATAGAATAGAATTTCTCCAAAAATATCTTGCTGGATGGCTAGTTGAACACCGCTTTAGGTCCCAAACCTCTCCTCAGGGGCACCTCAGCCATTCTATGTATTTGTTAAATTTCACAACCAGCTCAATTAATCAATTAACTTAAATAACTCTGTAAGGTATTGATTAGCCAGACAAGCTACTGCAAAAGCTGGGTTGATTAGCAAAGGTTTTGAAATGGTCTATATCATCATAGTTTAACACCAAAATGAAGGTCATTTACGCATCACGTCATCATGTTCTTTGACTGGTAAAGGCTGTCGCACAGCAGTGCATGCCTCACACAAACAGATACACCCCTGTGTAAACGTCTGTGTGCATATCTGTGTACACCGTAAGGCTGCAAGCACTCCCTGCTGCACGGCACGCACACACACGCTCAACCCCCCCCAGCAGGCGACAGGTCTTGGCGACGGCCTTGGAAAGTCATGTAGCTCTGGCCTCCAACTTCAGGGAGCGAATTAAAGGCCCCGAAATGTCGACTTAAATAATGTGGCCAGTAAAATGTAATTACTTATTAAAAAGGGCGCAAATGAAGAGGCCTGGTGTCTGGGGGCCGGGGGGGGGGGGGCTGGCGTAATGTGAATGTCTGGCCATGTTTCCAGCACCTGAAGGGGGGACCCATTACTGTCAGGCCCAGCTGCCACCTTTTATCCAGAGCGCAGTGCGCAGGTTACGTCAGGGCTGGACTCCGGGGTTACATGCCTGTGCTGAGCCAATGAGGCTGTGCCCTTGGCTATCGAGCGCTAGCGGAAGCTCCCCCGCTGATCGATGTCTGTGTTTTCCAGATCTTCCTCTCCTACGCGGTTTCTTGACATCGTTTGTTGTTATAACGCGTTGCCGTGTTTTGCGGGCTGGGCTCAAACACCGTCAGCTGGATGATTCATCGGCAGATGATCATCAGCCAAATAGCAGCATAGGGACTGGCTTGGGCAGGGGGGTGGGAAGGTGTCCGTTTATCCTGGTAAATGCGACCCGTTCATCCTGGCCCCTTAGCGATCTGTGTACACGTGCAGCCGTGCACATGCTTCAGGGATATGGGATCGGCAAGGATGGAGATACTGCTATGAAAGGTATCGAGATTGGTAGTACTACTGAAGAACCTATAGGGGGCGCTTGGCAGGCAGACACAGGTATTCTTGCTGGCCAAACACTTTCAGTAGGACCATGCTTTGAATGTAGCACAACGAAGTTGCTGTGCCGAGTACGGAATATGGTTTGCTTCTGTATGCTCCACCTCATCCATAGTGGGCTATTGTTGACCAACCGACCAATCATCATCAGTGTAGCTGAGCTTCTGTTTGCATTGATTGATAACCTGCCTGATGTGTCGAGACACGTTGCAGAGCCGTGGGGACGCAGAGAACACACTTTGCCAAGAAGTGGTTAGCGTACCTGTGTTACGAGGGCCCCTGCGGCCCTTGACCGCCGTCTCCTCCCTCCCTAGGCGCACAACGCCGCTGTCGAGGCGCAGGCAAACACGGAGCTGTCGGAGCGCATCAGTAACCTGGAGCGGGACGTGGCCAGGCACCGCGAAGATGCCGGCAAGTCCCAGGCTGAGGTGGACCGCCTGCTGGAGATCCTGCGCGAGATGGAGAACGAGAAGAATGACAAAGACAAGAAGATCAATGAACTGGAGAGGTAAGGGGGCTAGCTGTTAGCTTCCGTATCGCTGTACCTGTCGCTCTGTATATGTGTCCTCCTATCTGTCTGGCCCGCCGTTTTTAGTAACCTCTTAACTAAAGGGTCGCAGCGATCTGGTGCACAGACAGTAAGGCAAGGTAGATGCTGGACTGATCGCTTATCCATCAAAAGGCACTCACTGTATAGGTGTCTCCTTCGATGTCTTACTGCAGCTGCCAGCCATGCATTAGCCATATTGAACGGGAGTATTTGAATAGTGTCTGCTGCAGGATGGATGTGATTGGCCGGGAAATGAAGGTGGAGCTTGTCGCTTGACCTCTGTGGACCTATTGCCCAGCCGCTCTTTCTGACTGTGTATGGGGAGCTGGGGAGGATCCGGGCCGTCTCCCACGCCCGCCCTGAATAATGGGATTCCTCTTTGCTCTCTTGTCAGCTTGCGGTGATGGTAGGATCAAAGATGATGATCGTGTCTGTGGATGCTTACACAAGATGAAGGCTTCCAGGGCTGGAGAAAGGAGGACGCGGGTGTTTGTTCTGTGCTGTACGTGACCTTTGTCTCGGCCCGTTCCCTAAGGGAATTCTGAACGATCTGGCCAACGTTTAAGCAACTTAAAATCCTTGCAGCATTTTGCAGGAGGCAGAATGTCAGGACACTTCACGGATGTGTGTGTCTACATGTCTGAGTTTCTGCTCTTTAGGTTACTTAATTGCTAGTAATTAATTTTAGAGAAATATAGGATTTCTCCCCTTGTATAAATAAATAAAAGAAATGAATAATTAAAGACTAGCTCAGTCAAAACAAACATGATTTGGCGTTAGTGTGAAATTATGTGTCTGGAAATTAGCCGCCACGGTGTCATTAATGCAGACGTCTTGTGGTCCTGCGCACAGCTCTCAATCAAAGCTTTGTTTTTAGCGAGGGGCCCTTGTGGACCAGATTCTTCCTGATGCGAAGGCGGCCGGCATGGTTAAGGTCCCAAGAGGCCTGCATTTCTGCTGCGCTGTCCGCCGGGGACATGGAAAGAGATGCTCTGCTTGGGCTGTGATCGGCCTGTTCAAAAGGCCTGCAGGCGATGGGTCCCTCGGTGCCGCGAGTGGGGGGGCACATACAAGCCGATGACTGCGACTGAACCTAAAGCTGAAAGAGTGCAGGTCTCCCCCCCCCAACAAGGGACCTTCTCCTGGGCTTTTGATGCGATGCTTGACATGAATCGTTTTAGCAAAAAGCCATCATTTGTGCTGGTAAGACAGAGAACAAGTTCTGTTTTTTTGTCTTGAGGGTCAATATAACAGTAAATAGTGCCGGCCGGGGGCTGTATTTGGCCCCCGGGCCACGGTTGCTGATTGGTGCTCAGCAGGTTGGTGTGTCACCCCGGTCTCCTCAAGGTGCGTTGAACACGACCACTGAAGCACGAGCAGCTTGTCACAAGAACAGATCTAAAGGGAGGAACAAAACCTTGAGGTTTCTCAAGGCTAAATTTCGACAGGAGACGAAGTCTGTGTTCTCGACATGTGTTGAATTTTGAATAAAACAGTTTAAGTTGCAGGTAAGACTTTTTGTCTTGGTTTGTTTGCCCGCTTCCATCTTGTGTCGCGTGATAGGAGGCGACGCACTGAGACGCTTTGATCTTTTGTTCTGCTTTTTTCCCCACTGAAACTTTGGGAAGTGTCGTGTGTGTGATCTGTTTTGATAGTAGGGCTGTTGTGTCTTACTGGCACAGGTAAGTAGCTGGGAGCTCTGTATTGGGTCTGAGTAATGTCTGCTCTGGGCTCTTCATTGTCCCCTGGGCATGGACATGGTCAAAAGTGTCACTCTGAGAGGATTACAGAGAGCTGGACGAAACAGGTGTCCCTGTGCTGCTAATGGTGTCCGCATAACATTTCTGCTGTACCAGATCCACACCCCACCTTCTGATCCCCCTGGGGTGACACTGCTCTTTGGGACACTCTGTGTAGCTAAGAGAGACTGCGTTCAGGCTGTCCATACATCTCTTTGCCGATGTCTGTCTGTCTGTCTGTCTGTCTGTCTGTCTGTCTCTCTGTCTGTCTCTCTGTCTGTCTGTCTGTCTGTCTGTCTGTCTGCCTGCCTGTCTGTCTGTCTGCCAGTCTCTCTCTCTCTCTTTCTGTCTGCCTGTGTCTGTCTAATTCTCTGCCTGCTTCTCTGTCTCAGTAGGGCGCCTTCACACCGAAGTTCCAGAACCAACCTGGAACTTTTGTAGCTCCTGGCCACTTTCGTGTGTCTCTTTCACACCACGCAACAGGAACTGGGACCTTTATGTTAAATAAGCTTGGGAGACACAAAAAGCTCGTAGATTAAACTCCACACACAATTTGAAACTAAACAGCCTTTTATTTATAATCTATTCATAGGACCCGCAACGTTTATATTTCATTATTAAATCTGGCCAGCCGACTGATCTTTCGGTTTCACGAAATAAAAAATGGTGTAACATATTCCACTAATCAGCACTTGCTAATTTCACATCTGGCATCAGCAATATTAGAAAAAATATATTGGTTATTGATCGAATTTTCTGATGCAGAAATATGGAGATGTAAGCAAAAAAAAAATATTCATTAAATATAACTGAAATGCAAAAATAATTCTGTCTACTTAATTTTTGCTGTGCTGATGCTTGTGGTCAACCAAGCAGTAAGCTATTGCTGTAAGTGCCTCTCCAGTAGTTTGTGTTCAAATAAAAGTAGCGAGTCTGGAGTAGGACCTAAAAAAGGGTTCCGGAACTGCCTACAAGGAACTATAATTGGGTTGAGTTCTGTGATGTGAATGGGACAAAAGTTCCTGTTTCTGGAGCAAGATTCTGGTTTCTGAACAGTTCCTGTGGTGTGAAAACACCTGTTTTAAGTTCCTAGCTGTTCCTGTCAGTGTGGTGACTCTGGCCTACGCTTGCAGCACTTTGGACTCTCTGTGCATTTCTCTGCTGATTAACCTCTCTAAACTCTGCCGTTTTTTTCTTCTTCCTTCAATCTTTGCACTGGAATGCCGACTTCACCACAGCCTGGCTTCAAGGTTAGTAGCTCTGTCTTAACTCTGTGTACATGATGCCACAGTGCGGCGGGCCGACTGATAGAGGGGTCCATGGGAACACAAACCTGAAGAGGGACCACTCCGGATCCCAGTTATCTGGACATTTTTCAGCTGTCAGGTGTTCCTTGTCCAGCCCAAAAAGTCTTGCCAGGAGCTTCAGAGCCTCTTCAGCTGAGAGGTACATTCTCCCTGAAGCAGCTGGCTTCTGCACTTCGAGAGCGATTGTAACAGACTGAAGAAGGCTGGCTGCAGTGAGGTTCTTACCATGTGTCAGGAAAAAAACTTTGATATCTGGATCAGTAAAGCGTAGTATTTCAGGTCTAAGGTCTAAGGACCAGTGCTCATGTGGGTTAACGAAACACAACCAGATTCTCTTGGCATCAGCAAGCTCAACTAAAGTTTCAGGTATGTCTCAGTTATGAATATTTAAGAATTTATGGGTTTGTGCTCAAGTTCCCTGTCCCAGTGATGCGTGGTGTGGTGTGATGTGAAAGGCCGAAGCATGTGGGGGCGGCTGCCCTCGCTTCAGCCGTGTCTGACTCTGTGTCGAATCACAGGCGCAACACTGTGGCTCGACACAAAGAAAGCGGGGTCTGTTTTTCCCGTTGTGGCGCACGTTGGCCCACAGCAGTTAGCTGCTAGCCTCGGTTTGGGGCGGGGGTGCAGGGGATGTGGGTGTGGTGTCCCGGCAGTCCTGTGTGGTCGGCCTGTCCCGTTAGCACTGCCTGGCTGTTTTTGGGGGGGTCTCGCCCCACCCACAGCTCGGGAAAGGAGGTGAGTTCCATCTTCACGCGGAATTCAATTACTCAGAATGGGAAATCAGTGCCCCCGCCCCCCCCCCGATCCACTGAGCTTCACATGTTGACAGGTTTCCTTCGTGGTGTAGCTCGCCCCCCCCCCTCCTATGTGAGAAGCCCGAAATGAGAGTCCATCGCCGCGTGAAGGCCGGCTCTGTCTGCAAGAGCGCGGCTGGAAAGTGTGAGGTGGAATAGGCCCCGTGTTATTTCTTGATGTATTATGTTATTTTTTATGATATTTCTGGTCAACTCCAGTGCGGCCGTCGTCTCAGCGGTCGTCTGGCTGACCGGCCGGCCGGCACGGCGATGCCAAATAAAAGAAATCGAATAAACAATCGTCACATGATATGTTGTGTGCTCGTGCGCTTTCTCTGTGGCTTTTTCATCCCCAGCTATTACGCTTTGATCGCACCGGTCATGATGTCGGTCTACGAACCGCTTGTCCCAGTTTGACTTGGGCTGTTTATCCGATTCGGGTTGGTGGGTGGGGGGGAGGGGGGGTAGGCGCGTGGGCACGCTCGGCTCAGTCAGCGCAAATGCTGAGGCGGTGGGAGAGGTGAGTGAGGTCGTGGGGCGCGCCGCCGCCATGGGAAGGCCGCTGCCAGATTGCTGTGCTGAAATGCGCTATAAGCGGAGTGTTCGCTAGGTGGCGCTAGTGGCCTCTTCACCCACTTCTCACCATACTCTTCCTCATATATTCCTTGCCTGAAAAAAGTGCATTATTTCAGCATCTAAATTATAACTTGTTCGTATCATTCTTAATGTACTTTAGTGATCTTATGGCTCCTGTTACACAGCCGTGGTTGAGTCTGGACTCCTAGTGGTCATCTTGAGTGTGTATTCGCCAGGCTGGTACTGATGGCAGTTTTGAAGGGGGGGGGTTGGCTTCCATCTCGAGCAGAATCTGTCGACATCCAGGGTACTTTTAAATAAATATTTTTTGGTTTGTGTGAGTTGGCAGCTTCATCCTGACTGTAGATGTCTGACTGTCATTTTAATGAACAAGACCGTCTCAGTGGGGAAACATTCTGTCATCTATTTGTCAGAGTGAGCTGAAGCAGAATTCTGAACACTGAAAAATCAGGGCTGTTCCACATCCTGTGTTTGCTTTTCTTAATCACACTCAGCCTTCATCCTCGCTCACGTCGAATTTAATGCATTAATCCTCATTGGTGTAGTATTTAATACATCAATCTACATTTTCCATTTTAGTTTATCATCTGGAATGTCACAAAACCAGAGTTATTTTAGTTTTGCTGTTCATTTTTTAATTAATATATGTCTTTTGTTTGTTTGGCCTTAATGAGTTTGGGTCTACACACATTTTCTGTGATTAGTGTGCACACCCTGATTAGCACTGTGGCTAGTGTTACAGAGTGCGATGGCACCATTGCCTGATTATTAGCAGGGGTGACACAAGTGGCTGAACTTGGCCATTGACCATTGGCCATAATGCCCTTGAGTGCAGAGAGTGAGAGCTGTGAAGGGTTTGGCGCCTTTAATCCCCTGGCACCCCCCAGGAGACGTGCTTCTTAAGGCAGCCCGAGTCGCTAAATGGATGGCAGGCGAAAGATTATCTACAATCGCTTCCAGGAGGGACTTTGAACCTTTCATGGTCATTTTCTGAAATCCTAGTCTCTGTGGCATCAGCCGGGCCGGATGAAATCGGGCGCCGCGCCGAACCCGCTTAGTGGTTTCGGCCCGCCGATCAAGGCCCTCTCACCCGTCCTCCGTCTGCTTTGCCCATCTCCTGTCTGCACTCCTCCTCCTCACTGCGGCTGTGTGACAGGTGCCAGAGTTCGTACAGTCCTCCTGGTATCTCTGAGTGTTTGTGCGGGAGGGGGTGGGGGGTGATAATGGGGCAGGGGGGACGCACTGGCATACATAGCAATGAGGCCTATTAGACTGATGCTCTGTTGTGATTGATCTGGAGCGAAATGTCCTTTTGGCTTTGAACCCCCCGCTGCCACGGTCTCCCTGTCATCGGTGATCCCCGACCCTTTTGGCCCCTTGTACTCCCCTCATTCTAAGTACACACCGTGCACCAACTGCATAAACATCCTGTATAAGTATGGGGTCCTGTGAGCCCCCGACCAGAGTCCATGATCTTGTCCATCCGTGTCTGTTTTTTACTGATATATGGATGGATTGTGTGTGTGCGTGTCCGATTGCGTGTTTCTGTGAATGTGGGGGGGCGATGGAGGTTATGGACTCTGAGCGCAGCTTTCACATGGCCTGGGCTGTTTTTGGCTCTGCAAGGTGCTGTAACAAATCCCCGGTGTGCCGTTTAACCCGGGAAGAGGAGGGGAGAGACTTTGACAGGAAAATTAGGCCGCCAGATATTTTTCTTCTCGGCGCTGTTTTTCGCGAAGGTCATCAGCCTCCCGTCCTCGTTATAAAACGCCTTTCTGTTCACCTCCGCATATTTCTCCCCCTCCGTGTGTTAAGTTACCTAAAAGACTGCCCAAACAATGGCCACAGAGCTGAGCCGATGTGTTAAGTGGGGGCGCCGTGCCGCGCCCAGAGCACATGGGGCGGCACGGGGGCCGTCCGTAACATGAAGGAAAATGCTCACGTTGGAAAAGGTTAAATGGAGCAGCCTCTGTTTGCCAGCACGTCCACCACTGTCACCCCGCCCCCAAAATAAAAACATAGAACAACTTATGTGCCCCATACCAAATATTAGTGTTTTCTCGCTAGACTTTCATCTGTGTGCCTGGCTGTGTGCCAGGAACCCTTTTTCTTTCAGCTGGTTATTGACCCGGTAGTTTTCACCTCGGCGAGTAAAAGAATCTCTGTGTGTTTCGCTCATACAGTGGTCACTCCAGCAGACGTGGAGGTGGATCCGACATCAGGGTCGCTCTGGTCCTTCACAGCTCCTCCCCGGGCCTGTGAAATCCTCCCCTTTCACTTTATATGTGTGCCATTCATCATCGTGAGCAGATGCTTTCATTCTGATTGTCCTCCGATTTGTGAATCTTTGCACAGATTGGAATGTCACCTTAGAAATTCAGCTACGCTCTTTCAGACTTGAACTTGTAGTCTTCAGGTTACAAATGTGTGTCCCTGACGCCCAGAACACCGGCAGGTGGCGGAGGCAAAGGTGGCTGCCTTGGAAAGGGGACGGCTGCCGAGTTTGTTTCTTTGTGTGACAAAGTGGCCAGTGCTCGATTCTGCCCCGGGGACACGGCCTTTGATAGTCCTGCTGGCTAAACGCACACTAGCAAACACATCTAGCATCCAGACATCTACATCCCTTTTAAATGGCTGTTGACTTCATGAATGTCCTCCCTCGTTCCTTTTGTGTCTTTTTAGGTGTGTGTTTGTGTGTCAGTGTGGGTGGATTATGTATATATTACATTGTGGGGCCCAAATATCCTGATACTAACCTGTTGTTTTGACATTGTGGGGACCATTTTCTCAGTCCCCACAAGGGGAAATTCTATTTTATATAAACCTGTGACTGTAATCTTTTGATGTGAAAAGTATTTTGTTTGGTTAGTTATGGTTGGGCTGAGTAGGGGATAAGGTTGTCATTGTTGGGATTATGGTTTTTCCCCGTAGAAATGAATGGACAGTCCCATCAAAGATATGGATGCAAACACAAACTGTGTATGTGTGTGTGTGTGTGTGTACACGTGCTACAATAGGAGAGCCTGTTTCTGGTTGTGCGGTCTACAAAAGTGTTTTTCCTTAAAATCGGCTGTTTAGTTGGGTAAAATAAGCAATCCCAATGAAAGCCCCCCCTTCATGACCCCCTGGTGTGATGTCTTCTCCTAAGCTGCCCCTCCTATGTGATTTCCAGCATGAAACCCAATGGTCCAAAGCTGTGCGTTGATGTGTAACGCCCCCCCCCACCAACACACACACACACACAACACACACCAGCACAAGGATCTTTCATGTGTGCAGCCCTGACCTTACACCCCGCCCTGTGCCGAATGCGTGCTAAATCACTCTGAATATGAAAGGTAGCATGTCTGAGAATCACGTACAGGACGGGCCGGAAAGCACGCGGTTGGGGGGTGGGGCCGCCCCAGAGAAACATTCCTGGGTATTTATGAGCTGCTGCGGATGCCTGTCCGTGTCTCCGTGGAGACGCGGTTCAGAAAGGCCGACGTTTTCGGGAAAGCCGGCGACCCCCTTCGGATAAGCGGAAGAGAAGCGCAGGATGCTGACAGCCACGGCTGGTTCGGCCCGCTGATTCAGGACGGCATCTGCCTTGCCCTCCGAACCCTCGACGGACGCCGGTTGCTTGTACAGGGGGACTTATCGCTAATATTTCAGATGGCTGCCTTGTATCTTATCTGGCTCGTCCTGTTATCGTACCTCTTCATCATTCTTTGTTTGGATGACTAGTTGCTTCGTTAATGCTGCTCGCAGGTTTTACCAATTATAGAGAATGTGATTGTATTACGTTCATTGAGTGTTGTCCACAGTGTGCTGAGATTCTTTTCCTGGCATGTGTCATAGAGAAAACCTGGACAGTTGGCCCTTCAGGAAGCAGAGCATGCTGGGTACCCCAGGAGAGACTTTGCTTGATGTCATGATTCATCCACTGCTGTTATATGTGGCCTGTCAGGGCAGTCAGCTCCGTACGTCTGCTTTCACTTCAGAGCTTGCACCATGCGAATTTAGCCTGTTTGGAGCTCCAGCATAAACAATGGATTATCGAGTCTTATACTCTAAATTAGTATAGTCTGTGTGGCTTTTTTTTTGGACTGGTGTTCCCTGATTGAGCACGTGAATGGTGACACCGGTTTCTTCACCTCCCGTCTCTTAGACTGCCATGGTGGGACCCCCCCCCACCCTAAGAGTTGAATAGAAATAAAAATGCGAAATGAAAACCTTTTCGATCGGACAGAAAGTAGGCTGCTGCTTCTCTTGTTGTTTTTTTGACCCCAACTTAATCCTTCTGCCACCTAAGCCTAGTTGAGTTGGGTGAGGGCCTCCTGTACGAGGCCTTGTTTTTGCCGCATCAGGAGCCTTCCGGCTGGTCAGATCTGGCCCGTGGGACTTCTTCGTGGGGGCCATGGTGCATGGGAGCCAGGTCGCTTCTTACACCATCGCTCTGTTAGAGAGCATCGCATCAATCTCAGATGGCGCTGGCAGACCTTCACTGCGCCACAACTGCTGGAGCACAGAGCAACTGTGGATAGTTTTTCCCGGAATGCAGGAATGGGGTAGGGGGGCTTCTTGTCTCATCCCATAATCATCTGAAATAAGTCACTGGTTACATGTGGTGGGTTTAGCGTCTCGACTTTGCCATGGTGACTCTGGAGAGGGATCCTGGGACGTCGTAACATGAATCATTAAGCTCTGCGAAAACCTGGCCGATTGGGTGGTTTCTCGCATCTGTTCTGTTTGGGAGAGTGCGGTGAAGTGGACAGGTTTTCTTGATGCAGTCAGACGCTCTTTGTAACCGATACGTGTGACGCTGCACGTGCGGAATCCAGGCTACATAATGCAGTAAACAGGAAGAGGCTTGTAATGCCCGTAATGTGCTTTTCATTGCAACGGAACTGGAATGGAATCAATTGCTTTGGGTTGATTGAAGGTAAACAGAACAGTCTTTCTCATCTGCAGGAATGTTTATATTGCTTTTGGGTGTTTTTTGTAGCATCCTATATTTTCTCATCCCTTATCATAATAAAAGAGGGAGTGGGGGGGGAAGGAAACAGTGTGAGATTGAAACATGCTGTGTTACATTTGGAACACAGCTTGCAGCTTCCAACTCTGTAAATGGGACCAGTTCTTTTAAGTTCTTGTCCAAGTTTTAACATCTCGATTGACTTTCAGTTCTGTTTAACCATTTTGATCCCGTCAGTCCTGAGTCTGAAAGCCATTCTCGGTCTTCCCCGCGGATCTTTGCTCTCTTGGCACCGCGGAGTCAAACTGACCTCGACCCTTATCTGCTCCCACCTGCAGGCAAATGAAGGACCAGAGTAAGAAGGTGGCCAACCTGAAGCACAAGGAGCAGGTGGAGAAGAACAAGAATGCCCAGCTTATGGAGGAGGCCCGTAAACGGGAGGACAACATCAACGAGAGCTCCCAGCTGGTGAAGGTGAGTCACCCTCCTGTGGAGCTTGCTGTCCCGTGGTGGGGCAGCCAACTGGCTGGGGGGGAGGGGGTGTAGCGCTGTCAGATGTGGCTCCAGTGTGCTGAGAGCAACGACTCATGCTTTCATGTGCCTCCCAACAGCCGGATCACGGACCACAATCATGCTCCAGTTACTGCCTTCCATTGTCAAACCATTTTCATATCTTTGTTCAAAGCAATATACAAGTGAGGTAAATGGGACACAAATACATGCGCCGCTCAGGAGTCGCCTATGCGTGTAGGTGGCTGGGCTGAGCAGGACTGGAGCAACTGCTATAGAAGAACTTCTAACAAAGCAAGAATATAAAACTATTCGATGACCATAAGTACAACGTTAAGAACATCTCGCTCTCCATGAGAGAGCCAGACACTCATGGAGGTGGGAGCAAACTTTGGGGTCACAGCATAGGGTCAGCCAGTATTTTAGGTATACCGAGGTATTTCCATTTTGGAGAATTTCACCCCCCACAATTCCAAACTACCAGAATAGCATGACTTTTGACAATACTGTACACCACAGTATAATGTATGGACAGTATGAGACATTAGATACCGTCTAACTGGCACAGCTGGACTTTGGATCCCACCCATCCAAGCTGTAATCCTTCAACCGGATGTCACCTAATGAGGATGGAACCACACAGAGAAACGGCCGTGGAAACAGGCAGACGAACCCTAAGGATCTGATCGCAAAACGGAAAAAACAAGGAGGAGAAAGAAAAGAAACCGAACGAAACCACAATCAAGGCAGACCCACAGGGATGCTGCTTTCCTGAGCTCTCATCACGACACGAAAAACACACCATCTTCATAACTCTCCGGTGTGTAACTCCCCCCTCCCAACAGACCGAACCCCCGCACCACTAGCTCCACCAGGGACCAACCTGGAGCAGGGAACCTGCCGCCAAACCCAACAGAAACCCGTAGACCCGGCCTAATCTGGGCCGTGGCCGCCGAAGGGAGCGGCGGAGCGCGGCTTGGGCACCGCAGACTGTTGCTTCAGCTGGGGCCGGGCTGCAGAGAACCTCCTGACAGGCGGGGTCCGCTTGGGCGGTGGTCTCTCCCGCTCCGCTAAAGCGCTCCGCTTCCACCCCAGGGCTGTAATGGTCGGCCATGACCGGCTGAGCCTTCCTCACGCTAGGGCAGCTACTCACCTTCAAAAATCACGGCATGGAAATGAAAAAAAATGGGGGGGGGATCACGATAGCTGTGTGTGGTTTGGAGAGGGAACCTGCTTCTACTTCTACTCATGGCACTCTCAGGCGATCGGCCGGCTCCGAGGCCTCTCCCTGTCAAGGGTCTTGTTGCCGTTTTGCGGCTCGGGGAAAAAAAAAAAATCTCGAATGAGTGTGATGGGTTTTTCAGCTCTCAAGGAGAATCCCACTCAGACGTGACAAGGAGGACCTGGCCCTCAACGATCAGGGCTCACCCACAGCTAATCACTCAAATTTCATTCAGTAATGCTCACGAGCAAATGTCCCACAGTGGAAAATTACTGTGAATCATAATTTTAAAAAAATCACCAAACCTGGGAAAACTGAAAATCCTCTCTCAATATAATAGTATAAGGAGTTAATAAAGTCTACAGTAGGGTTAGCCCTTCCTCCCTCTTACACCCTCTTATGTCAGCATCATCAGCCTATATTTCTGAGTTCTCCACACCCGTAGTCCAGGTGATTGCCTTTGTAGTGTGACTGGTAAGCAGGGTCCAGCAGTCAGCTCAGGGCAAGTTGGATGGTCAGTGTAATGTCTCATGCATTTTCATTCCTTTGTAGTGAAAGTGGGCTGGCACCAGAGATGTGGCTGTTGTGTTTCAGTTAATTTCTCAGGTTTTCTGAGGACTTCAGGGAGCTTTGGGGGAAGGGGCAGTGGTGGTCGCGTCCACAGCCACCACTGTTGACCTTGGAGGCAGTGAAGGCGGAGGGGAAACACTCGATTCTGGGTCCCTGGGTCTTGACGCCGCCCTATAGCCCAAGCCCTCCACTGGCGCCCGGGCTGCTCCTGAAGGTCCATTTGGCCGCACTCCTGACCGGTTCTGGCCTGGCTGCCCTGTAGCTGTAGTGAAGGGATGAAGTGCCGGAGTCTGGCCGGGCCGAACAGAAGGACAACCATACAGTGTTCTGCTGTGTTTATACAGTATAAACGTGTATGGAGTCTAGTACGCTATAGAAGGAGCCCTCAGAATTATACATTTAACATTCTCACCTTTTTGTAAAGCCTGTGTTGTTTTTAAAAGGTGATTGCTTGTTAATTCCCCCCACTGCATAAAAAACACACTGGAAAATATCAAATATTTGTGCATGCGGAGTGTGTCTCGTACACATGGCTGCTGCTTTCCCTTTCTGATTGGTGGGCAGATGACATCAGAGGTTTGAGCGTCTGGGCTTGTCTATGGGAGAGTAAACACTTATTTTAGCGCCGCAGAATGTGCGCTTCTCAGGAGCTGCCAGATGACCTGTGGGCATGGCTCAGGTCTGTGGAACATCACCAGGTACATATGTATGTATCAGTAGGTGCATAAGTCCCAATTCTGTACCATCAGGAACAAAGAAATGCAAAGAAGCGTACTAGGGTGAGGTCATTTTTCTCAGCTAAAGGCGAAGCTCCATCCTCATTGTTAACGGCACACCGGTACTGTCTATACACCTACTAAAACACACAAAGCCCACAACTGATGGATTAGCCATCAGAGCTAATGAATCCAAAAATCTAGTCTGCGATGCTGCTTTATAGATGATATTAATGCTAATATGAAAGGGGGATAGAACAGAAGCCTTTTATTGGATCAAAGAGATGGAGGGCTGGGAACAAATGAACAGAGGGCTCTTCCTTTCTCGCTAGCTGCCATGAGAGTTTTCCACCTTTGACATCCGCCGTCCGTTAGCACTGCTGGCTCGGAGCAGTCATTCTGTACCGCATGCTTTGTGGGGGTTTGGTTGCTGTCAGTTTTGGTATAACAGTATTCGGGAACATTTATGAGTTATGGACCATATTTTAATCCTATTGCGGTTAGCTTGATTTACTGTAAAAAGATCTTGTTGGGAAGTTTGACATAATCAATGCAATACTTTTTGTTCTGCACCAATATGAGTTGGATACAAGGCATGTCTGTGTTCATTATCAAAACATTTAAAAAGTTTGTTTTAATAGGTTGAAATGAGTTCTGGAATGCATATTCAGTGCTCTGGGGGGGCAGAGAAAACCATGACGACCCATGGGGAGGTACATTTAAAAAAAAAAAAAAACCATAAGATTTATCCTGTGTCGACAAAGGTATGAACGTACTCAAATGAAGCAGCCCTTAGTATTTTCTTGTTTTTTCTTGTCTTTTATGCAGTTGCTTTTGCCGTGAAATTAAGATTTACAGTATTGGCATACAAATTAAATAAGTAGATTTAAGATCAGTATCCTTGTACTGTAGCTGAGTTGGGGGGCATTTTTGGTTTGCTGTTAGTAGAGGCAGAGAGAGTGAGGGGGATGTAGAGAGATGTCAGCTCTTGCTAGCGTTTGTGGATGTAGGGCGGTTTCATTTTGCAGAGTTCAACCTGTTTAGCTAATGACTGTCACGCTGCATGTACGCTAACCTCTTGCTGTATACTGGGAATAGCTCCAGATGGGTAGATGAGTTGAACAAGGATGTATATCATCATACCCATTCAACTTTTATGCAAAATACATGATGAAAGAATGTGGACTGATAGAAGACAATTGTGGAATAGACATCGACTTTCAAATTTCTGATGACATCACATTTACAGCAAATGAAGACGATCTGAAGGAAAGACCAAGGAGATGGAACTGTGTGGCAGGGGGGAGAAAACAAAGGGTGTAATGTAGTATTACTGGTGAAGGTGGAGAAGTTAGACAGCATTTCCTTCCTTGAAACAATGAACAGCAATAGCATCCAGTCAAGAAATATGTTGCAAACTAGCACTTAGCATAACTGTGGTGAATTCCAGTCTTACAAATTATTGATGAATTTCAAAGAATAATGATCAGAATTGTTCAGAGTGTGTTTCTGTGAGATATGAAAGCTGGACAGTGAAGCAGCTGGACAAGCAGAATGTCAACAGATTTGAACTTTGGTGGGTGGATTCTTTTTGGCGATTTTGAACACCATGGATCAATCAGGTCTTAATCAAAACTAACCTGAATTTTCACTTGAAGCACAAATAGATTTGGTCCAGTCATTTTAATTTGTGCATATTATGAGAGGACCCAGTGCGTTGGAGAAACCCATAATGCTTGGAAAATTCTAATGTAAGAGCTGAAGTGGATGACCAGCAACAAGATGGATTGGACTCTTTTAAATCAAGTTGAGCCTGAGCATGCCAATAGGAAGGCTTGACACCCGAAGTGAAGATATTATATTATTGAGGAACGGTGTCTGATCACCAGGTGATGACATCATCTTCATGGCACCATATAAAACTGATGACTCATAAACACACAAATATTTATGCAATGAGAGAGTTTTCTGTGGTAGAAATAATCTGATTTCTTTGGGATATTTTTCGGAAATTACCTTTATATTACTCATGAGGGGGATTCCCTTGTAAAGAAGTAAACTTACCCAGGAGATAGTTCTTAATGACTGACCTCATCCTTCCTGAACGTAATTCAGAAGATGTCAGAAGTAGACGACTTTGCTCTCATGGAGAAGCAGAGGTGCCGTTCAGATTAGTGGTCACTGTTTTGAGCACATCACCCAATGAATTCTGAAAATCCCAGCCGGCAGAGAAAGATGAACGGCATCCCCTGCAACACGTGTCGTGTTGTGGCGTCTCTGTGTGTATCAGTCATCTGGCCCATCTTGTGAGCACATGTTAAGCACAGGGTGGGGCACATCCTCAGTCCAGCTGATGAGCAACAAGTGAAAGGGGAGAGAGGAAACAGGCTTCAAAGAGCCGTATCTAATGAGGTTAGAGGGCTGGTTAAAGTAAACAGTGTTCAGGGCTTTAAGAT